TCTAAATAAACCCTGTAAATTTGATTGCTATAGGTTTCATAGTTTATTCACAAAAAATTCCTCAAGGAAGTCTACAATAATGCACTACTATGGAATGCATTAGAATGTTTGGGAATAGACAGTGTCATCAATTTTAAGTTTTTTGGATCGAAAAAATTCTGAAATATCACTAAGGTATATATAAATAAATCCTGTAAATTTGATTGCAAAAGGTCCCATAGTTTATTCACAAAAAATTCCTCAAGGAAGTCTACAATAATGCACTACTATGGAATGCATTAGAATGTTTGGGAATAGACAGTGTCATCAATTTTAAGTTTTTTGGATCGAAAAAATTCTGAAATATCACTAAAGTATATATAAATAAATCCTGTAAATTTGATTGCAAAAGGTCCCATAGTTTATTCACAAAAAATTCCCCAAGAAAGTCTACAAAAATGCACTAGTATAAAATGCACTAGTATGTTTCAGAATATACGGTGTCATCAATTTTAATTTTCTTGCGCCGAAAAAATTCTTAAATATCAATGAACTATATCTAAATAAACCCTGTAAATTTGATTGCTATAGGTTTCATAGTTTATTCACAAAAAATTCCTCAAGGAAGTCTACAATAATGCACTACTATGGAATGCATTAGAATGTTTGGGAATAGACAGTGTCATCAATTTTAAGTTTTTTGGATCGAAAAAATTCTGAAATATCACTAAGGTATATATAAATAAATCCTGTAAATTTGATTGCAAAAGGTCCCATAGTTTATTCACAAAAAAGTCCCCAATGATGTCTACAAAAATGCACTAGTATAAAATGCACTTGTATGTTTCAGAATATACAGTGTCATCAATTTTAATTTTCTTGCGCCGAAAAAATTCTTAAATATCAATGAACTATATATAAATAAACCCTCCAAATTGGACTGCAAAAGCTCTCACAGTTTATCCACAAAAAATTCCCCAAGAAAGCCCCCAAAAAATTGCACTTCATACCCCCCCTAAATACAAGTATAAAAATCAGTTTCTCCACAAATATTTTACTATCGACGTTACGATTAATTTCGCGAGTAACTCTGTTTGGTATGTACAGCCCAAATGATGGGGATCCTGCATTTCCATCCTGCGTAGTATCCGGTTTCCGCACGCAGGTATCAGCATAACAAACAATACCCATAGATATTCCTATTTCAATGCGTTTCCCACTCTGTTCCTTAAATCAATAACGATGAACACGAAATCGCCCTTTGTTTACTAATTAATCCTCTCTATAGATATATTACTGCAAGTTCGACGATTCTATCAACATCCTACGTTACACTCAATCATCAAAAATCTATTTTCGAATGATTTAAACTCAGTTTTCATTTGCAACTGTATACATTGCATTTATCAAACTCTGCTACAGTTTGAATTTTGTTAAATCGATGTTTATTAAAGTATGGAATATCTGGTTACGATCTCGAACAAAAATATGTTCGTTAAACCGTAGGAAGCTTTGGACACATATGATTATAACAAGAATATTTAATATTAATATTAATATTAATATTAATATTACGGGTAATATATTCCATGTGCCACGAAATGACAAAATTAAATGAAAATCAAATTCGATTTAAATTCACGTTTGTAGACCTGATTAATCCAACTTGTTATCTATAATTTCGATTACGAATGTGGCGTTGCCTCCCATGCTCGCCACCAGGGGGGGTTGCGCTCTCACAAGCGCTCGACCCTCCGTTGCTATATACAGGGTGTTCGGCCACCCCAGGGAAAAATTTTAATGGGGGATTCTAGAGGCCAAAATAAGACGAAAACCAAGAATACCAATTTGTTGATGGAGGCTTCGTTAAAATGTTATTAACGTTTAAAGTTGCGCCTGTGAGACGGGAACCGTGCACGCTGCACACTTCAACTTTAAACGTTAATAACTTTTTAACGAAGCCTCCGTCAACAAATTGGTATTCTTGATTTTTGTCTTATTTTGGCCTCTAGAATCTCCCATTAAAATTTTTCCCTGGGATGCATTGGAAACAGTAGAAAATTCTTTGGAAATATGGAGATTTTCGATCAATTCAGATTGTAATAATTGTTGGAATAAAACATGCGACAGATTTATCGAGAGAGGATTCTTTGCACGCATATCGCCGAAGCGTATTATTAAAATTAAATAAATTTGTATTAATTTTAACAACGCGCCACATTTTAAAAGCGACGCTCACTGTCGGAATTATCTTAATTACGGGTAATGAGATCCTGGCATGAGAAAAGCTTAACAATATTAACGAGGCTGTTCGATAATTCGATGCTAATGATGCAGTGGTAATTAAATCAATGAAGCGCGCACTCCAAATGAACTGCTCATTTGAAGATCCCATATGGTTATATGCAGGAAAATAAAAAATGTTATTAATAAATTTAGTCACGAGTCGATGAGAGGGGAAGTTTAAAAAATAATTTGTTTCAGAGAATTTGTAGATTTGAAATTAAAACGATGTTAAAATTGTATCAAATTTGTGTTTCATATGCATTGTTTGTAAATTTATCTCAAAGGATGAACGCAATTAATTAGTACTGGGATAATATAGAGACAGTATTTGGTACTTAGTTTTCAGTTAAATTGTTGGTGGTTATTAATGGGATCGGATATTAATAATGTTACATCACGTTATCAGTGATTAAATGTTCCTTGAGTATCACATGAATATTTCAATGATTTTTATTGTTAAATGTTCATGTACAAAATTTAAAATTTATGTTATTTGGAAAACTGTAATTTTTTAAAAAAATTTGTAAGCGAAGGTTGATAGAAATTTTAATAATTTAATATAGTAACGTGAAAAAGAAGGTAATTTAACTTCAAAGTGCTGTCATTTATTTAATTATCGATTTTTCCTTTTTCATTTTGCTGTGGGCTGTAATTAAACTTGTACTAATTAAGAATCTTTCACGTTTTTCCATTTTAAACAAATAAAATGGCTACAATTATGGACATTGTGAAATTACCTTTTTTGGAACCAATTATGTTTGACTGCGTTTGAGAACGTACAGCGGCGTCAATTTCAAGTTTTTTGGGTCCAAAAAATTTTGAAATATCACTGAAATATGTATAAATATACCCTGTAAATTTGATTCCAAAAGGCCTTCGAGTTTATTCACAAAAAATTCCTAAAGAAGGTCTAAAAAAGTACACTTGATATCAGTGCATTTTAAAAGTGACTTTGTTTGACTGTGTTTGAGAATTTACAGTGTCATCAATTTTAAAATTTATGGGCCCAAAAAATTCTGAAATATTATTCAAGTATATCTAAATAAACCCTGTAAATTTGATTGCAAAAGGTCTCATAGTTTATTCACAAAAAATTCCCCAATAAAGTCTAAAATACACTAGTATGAAATGCATTTTAAAATTGACTATGTTTGAGAGCATACAGTGTCGCCAATTTTAACTTTCTTGCGCTCAAAAAATTCTGAAATATAACTGAAGTATGTACATATAAACCCTGTAAATTTGATTGCAGAAGCTCTTATAATTTAATCACAAAAAATTCCTAAAGCAAGCCTAAAAAACTGCATTCCATTCTAATGCACTTTAAAAGCAGATATGCTTGATTACGTTTGAATATATGCAGTGTCATCAATTTTAACTTTTTCTCGCCAAAAAAATTCTAAAATATAACTGAAGTATCTATGAATAGACCCTGTAAATTTGACTGCAGAAGCTTTTATAGTTTATTCACAAAAAAATTCTGAAAGAAAGTCTAGAAGAATGCATTTTGTACTAGTGCATTTTAAAAGCGACTATGTTTGAGAGCATGCAGTGCTATCAGTTTTATATATTTTTCGCTCAAAAAATTCTAAAATATAACTGAAGTATGTACATATAAACCCTGTAAATTTGATTGCAGAAGCTCTTATAATTTAATCACAAAAAATTCCTAAAGCAAGCCTAAAAAAATGCATTCCATTCTAATGCACTTTAAAAGCAGATATGCTTGATTACGTTTGAATATATGCAGTGTCATCAATTTTAACTTTTTCTCGCCAAAAAAATTCTAAAATATAACTGAAGTATCTATGAATAGACCCTGTAAATTTGACTGCAGAAGCTTTTATAGTTTATTCAGAAAAAATTGACAAAGAAAGTCTAGAAGAATGCATTTTGTACTAGTGCATTTTAAAAGCGACTATGTTTGAGAGCATGCAGTGCCATCAGTTTTATATATTTTTCGCTCAAAAAATTCTAAAATATAACTGAAGTATGTACATATAAACCCTGTAAATTTGATTGCAGAAGCTCTTATAATTTAGTCACAAAAAATTCCTAAAGCAAGCCTAAAAAACTGCATTCCATTCTAATGCACTTTAAAAGCAGATATGCTTGATTACGTTTGAATATATGCAGAGCCATCAATTTTAACATTTTCTCGCCAAAAAAATTCTAAAATATAACTAAAGTATCTGTAAATAAACCCTGTAAATTTGATTGCAAAAGGTCTCATAGTTTATTCACAAAAAATTCCTCAAAAAAATCTACAAAAATGCACTGGTATGAAATACACTAATATGTTTGAAAATATACAGTGTCGTCAATTTTAACTTTCTTGCGCCCAAAAAATTCTGAAATATCATTGAACTACATCTAAATAAACCCTGTAAATTTGATTGCTAAAGGTCTCACAGTTTATTCACAAAAAATTCTTCAAGAAAGTCTAAAAAAATAGACTCCATCCCAGAGCATTTTAAAGGCGACTATCTTTGAAAATATACAGTGTCGTCAATTTTAACTTTCATGCGCCGAAAAAATTCTGAAATATCACTAAACTATACCTAAATAAACCCTGTAAATTTCACAGCAGAAGCTCTCATAGCTTGTTTACAAAAAATTCCCCAAGAATGTCCAAGAAAACGTACTTCGCAGAAGTCCGCGTTAAATCGAAACGTCAAAAGACTTTGATCCGTGCTGTTTGACCAGAAGTTTGAAATTTCTTTCTCAACTTCCAGGCAGTCTCGGATTTGCTGCTGGGTGTCTTCTGCATACCCTTCACACTTCTCGGCCAGATACTGAAGAACTTCGTCTTCGGTATTACGATGTGCAAACTTATTCCGTACTTCCAAGGTACGTATCTTGTTAATTAGGTTTCATCAACCGTTGAAATCTTATCACCACTCTCTTTACTTTAAATTTTCACTGAAATCAATTAATTAACACGCTTTACTTACCCAAATATTAGCAAAAAGTAGTCCAAAAAAAAAATACAAATTATTATTAAAAATATGTCATTTTTAAATTCAATTTTACAAAGAAAAAATGTTACAACTTTTTACAAAAATTATAGGACGATTTTAACATTTCAAAATTGAACTCATTAATTTTTAATTAATTAAATAATTTTCCATATAAACAATTAAAATAATTTTCACTGTTACTAAAAACATAAACAAATAACTATAGTTTATTTCAGTGCATTAATTTTCATATCCCCCCTGTAGAATATTCTCCAAATGGAGTTTGACAATTATTTCGCGAATTTCCATTGTCAAACATAAAAATTTTTAATAATCATTACTGGAATGAAATTAAATCCCAGTGTTTTATTGTTCCCACGCACGGGATCGTCTGTCACTCCATTCGACGTGTTGTTTACGACGAGGATGACTCCATTTTGCAAAAATAATTTCACGAAGCCATGGATCATTGCGTTTTTTAATTTCTTAATAAATGGTCCAGATTTATTGGAAATTCTGAATCACCGTTGGGAAGTTTATTGGGAATATTAATTGAAAACAGTGGGAGGAGTTTGGAAGGCACTATCGATCGTAACTATACCTTGTTAAAATGCTATGACGCGGGCCATGCATTGTGAAAAATTATCCGAGACAAACTCGCGAACGAGAAATGTGTTCTGAACATGAAATGCAATTCTCGATTTTTCTCCTTGGGTTATGTGCAAAATATAGTCTACTACCGCCCACTTATTCTCCTGGGAAGCCCCAGGAGAATTAGAACAAATTGCATTTATTTTTTGGGAAAATCGTGCACTGTAATAATTAAGTTTCTCTGCAAAAGAATATACAATATTGTCCATTTTATATACGTAGCAATTACGTAGAAATTACGTAGAAATTGTGTAGGAAAATTGTTTAACAAGATTAGAACATTTAATAATTTTTTAGAATATTTGTTAAGAATCAAGAATAGGATTTTAGAAATTACGTAGAAATTACGTAGAAATTGCTCGATGAATTGTATAGGAAAATTGTTTAACAAGATTAGAACATTTAATAATTTTTTAGAATATTTGTTAGGAATGAAGAATAGGATTTGCATTAGAAATATCGTTAAAGTGAAATAAAACGAGTCAGAGAGGGGCACTACCGCCCACTTATTCTCCTGGGAAGCCCCAGGAGAATTAGAACAAATTGGTTAGACGTAGATTGCATTTATTTTTTGGGAAAATCGTGCACAGTAACAAATTAAGTTTCTCTGCAAAAGAATATACAATATTGTCCATTTTATATACGTAGAAATTACGTAGAAATTACGTAGAAATTGTATAGGAAAATTGTTTATCAAGATTAGAACATTTAATAATTTTTTAGAATATTTGTTAAGAATGAAGAATAGGATTTTAGAAATTACGTAGAGATTACGTAGAAATTGCTCGAGGAATTGTATAGGAAAATTGTTTAACAAGATTAGAACATTTAATAATTATTTAGAATATTTGTTGAGAATAAAGAATAGGATTTGCATTAGAAATATCGTAAAAATGAAATAAAACGAGTCAGAGAGTAAATATATTGTTGGTAGGTTGGGGATCTGGATTAGATTTGGACTAAATATGTATTAGAACTAATTATTATATGTACAGGTTGTTAGATTTAGTTATAATGTAGATCTAAATTTAATTAGAATAATATTTGGTTATATATTGGAACTAAATGTAGTTAGAATAATATTTGAGTCTAGATTAGAACTAAATGTAGTTAGAATAATATTTAGTTCTATATTAGAACTATAATTGGTATAATATTGAATTATATATTAGAACTAAATATTATATTATACTTATTATATTTAGTTCTAAATATAATTAGTACAATATTTAACTATATATTAGAACTAAATATTATATTATAATGATTACATTTAGATCTAATATGAAACTAAATAGTTCTATAAAGATCTCTATAGATTTGTAGATGATATTCTCTATAGATAATAATTCTATATTAAAACTAAATATAATTAGTATAATATTCAGTTCTATATTAGAATTAGAATTAGTATAATATTGAATTATATATTAGAACTATAATTGGTATAATATTGAATTATATATTATAGTAATTATTTTTAATTTTAATATATTTAGAACTAAATATATCAGAACAAACTATAATTAGAACTAAATATATTAGAACAAAGTATAATTTGAACAAAATATATTAGAACCAAATATAATTAGAACAAAACATATCAGAATAAATTATAATTAGAACTAAATATATTAGAACAAAATATAATTTGAACTAAATATATTAGAACAAATTATAATTTGAACTAAATATATTAGAACAAATTATAATTAGAACTAAATATATTAGAACAAAATATAATTAGAACAAAATATATTAGAACAAAATATAATTAGAACAAAATATATTAGAACAAAATATAATTAATACAATATTTAGTTATATATCACAACTAAATCATATATTATAATTATATATTAGAACAAAATGTCATATCTACAGGTTGTTACATCTAAGTACAAACAGTGCAATTAGAAAAAGTTTTTCCACAAAAATTCTTTGATTTCCAGAAACACACAATGCATAATAAATTTTTCTTTTTTAACAATGGCGGAGATTTCGAGGTGAAGATAATTTTCTAAAATGTGACTAAACAATTTTATATTCATTTCTACTTCCTCAAAAATTCCAATATACTCACTATAACTACTATATAAATATTATCACAGCTTCAGCTCATTAAAACTTGAAAATTGCAACTGGAAATAATTCGATACGTCTCGTATCTCATATCGTTCCCGTTTCAGTTTGCACTCGAGTTTAGTTACCGAAGATAATTTATGCAATAACGCGGATGAGCTACCTAGCGGTGGAATGCGATGTAACTCGAGATTTGCATAGTTCGGAGCAATTAAATACGCAATACGACAATCTCGTCCCCAGAAATATCAAACAATTTCATCCAAATATTCTCGAAGGAAATTTCAAGTTTTGCAAAAACGGAAAGGAAAAACGCAGAAAGGGAAGAAAAGCATATTTCGAAATAGGAAGTCTCGGATTTAAAAGCTTTTCCGCGTAAAACGGACCGCTCTCGAGCGATCGCGTCAAATTTTTTTTTTTTTAATTTTTCCACTCGAATATTTTTTTTTTCGCAATTTTCACCAACTGCATGTTAATTGCGGAGTTTTTCCTATAATTGTACGCTTTTTAATTGGGGCACGATATTTTCAACCCCGAAAATTTCAATGTTTTTTGAAAAATTCAAAAGAAGTTTAATAACGAAAATGTGGCGATTTCTTTTGCGTGTGCATTCTGTGGACTTCGTGATTTAAACCTATAAACGTCACTTATCGTACAGTGTATACATTAGAAGAAATAATAAAATGCAAATAGTTTATGAGGGGCATAAAAATTTTATTTCTTGAGCCATATTTTGGGACGAAAATAATTCTTTTTCGCTATCAGTGTTTTACGAGCTTGGAAATGTACTTTTTATATATCACGAAAGAGAGGAAGGGGAATAGTAATGAAACTAAGTGGAAATCGAGGAAAATCTAAATTGCAAAATAGAAAATTTTTTTTATTCGTTTATTAAAATTTTCTTATTTTTTCTTATTTAACATTAGAATTGCCAATAATTATCGTATATTTATTTGTAAGAAATTATTTAATTTAATTTGTAAAAATAATTTCTAATATTCTAAATTAAATTAGATAAAAATTTTAAAATTAAATTTTGGAGAGAATATAAATAATATAAAATGTGGAATGCAATGGAAAATGAATGTTTATTTGTTCCTTTATGATTTTGCTCAAAATATAGTGGAGTAAATTTTTTAGAATTTTTATAAGAATTTTTGAATGAATTATTTTAATTATTTTGGTAATTTTAGTGTTAATGATAATATTTCACTATAGTGTCATGTCTTCTGCATATTTTCACCAGTAGATTAGAGTTTTCAATTGATAATAATCATTTCTTATAATATTTATGGTGTTAAATTTGTAACAATTTTGATTAGAAATTATAAATGGGTTTTTTTAATGAATATCGTTTGATTATGGGCCAGAATTAATTTAGTTGCTCAGTGACTTAGTCTTAGAAGTGATTCAGATACTCTAGAGTGTTACTCTATTAACTAATTCTAGTAACTGAATTAGAAATTAGAAAAATTTCTTTTCTTTGTTTTTGTTTCCGATTTGACTAAAAATAAATACTCGATTCATTTCAAATTAATTCTCAAATTAAGTTTAGGGAACAAGAAATTTAGTTATCCTCTAAATCAGAGTTTCCTTAGATTAGAAAAATCTGTTTTCTTAGTTTCTTTGATTCCAAAATCAACTAAAAATAAATACTCAATTTTTTTAAAATGATTTCTCTCAGATTAGCTTTACGAAACAAGAAATTTAGTAATTTTAGAGTGTAACTCTATTAACTAACTCTAGAAATTGATTTAGAAATTAGAATCTCCCAAAATTAGAAAAATCTCTTTTCTCAGTTTCTCTGATTCCAAATCAACCAAAAATAAATACTCAATTTTTTAAAATTAATTCTCTAATTCAGTTTAGGGAACAAGAAATTTAGTTATCCTCTAAATCAGAGTTTCCTTAGATTAGAAAAATCTGTTTTCTTAGTTTCTTTGATTCCAAAATCAACTAAAAATAAATACTCAATTTTTTTTAAATGAATTCTCTCAGATTAGCTTTACGAAACAAGAAATTTAGTAATTTTAGAGTGTAACTCTATTAACTAACTCTAGAAATTGATTTAGAAATTAGAATCTCCCAAAATTAGAAAAATCTCTTTTCTCAGTTTCTCTGATTCCAAATCAACTAAAAATAAATACTCAATTTTTT